CTTGCCTGGCAAACACAAGGCCCTGAGTTCAATCCCTGGTTCTGCCAAAAACAAAAACAAAAACAGAAAAATGTCGCCCTAAAACACACTTCTAAACCTCTCTGAAAGCTCTTGGCAACTCTAAGAGATATACTGTCATTCTACAATAATACCTCCACAACACTAAGGGCTAGGCCATATCTCCATGTTTTAAAAATTAGTTTCTTGAGGCAATCAGAAATCCTAATAACAGTCAGAATAAAAAAACAACTTTGTGTGGTTTTTCCAGAGATCTGAGAAGAAATCACAAAGCTTCCTTACAAAGAGAAAATTGAATTCATGATTTAGGAGCACAGAATTTTTTATTAGGTAATTCAAAGAGATTTTGTGGACATACATTTTCCACTTATTTTCTTCAGAATAAAATCCTCTAGTGTAGCCATTAGTATGTTGGGCCATGGCCAAGATGTCCTAAGAACCTTCTACCAGGAAGCTCATGCCAAGTCAGGGTTTGACGCCTGAGTGTTACCGAAGGGGCTCTCCATTATGCTACTTCTCCAGCATTTTGCCAGCAACTGTAATATATTAAGGACTTTCCTTCGGAGCAATTAGAAGGACTCCAGGGAATCACCAAAGAGGGTTGCTGTTGCTATGTTTTTGTCTGTTTTGCCAAGAGGCAGGGAAAACAACGACGCTAAGAGAATTCAAAAGTAGAGATCTAGGAAGGTTAATTTCAGAGTCCCAGTAACCACCTCTCTGTTCTTCTCTGACTGCAGCCAACCCACACAGCCCCAGTACCTCTCAACCAGCTGGCCAATGCCTGAAGTTGTAAAATTATAAGATCATTTTTGTGTTCATACTTTGTAAACCCTTGAGAAAGAGACTTGCTTTCGATTTTATGACTCACTGGCTCCTCAGGCACTTGGCTCCATGTACTAACAGTGGTCATACAGTTCGGCCTCAGAGCTGAATCTGAATTGCTGTCATTACTTTATTAACTGGTTTAAGAAACTGCTAACACACTGAGAGCTTGCTATTTGTCAGACACTTATTGTAGCACTTTAGATTTATCTCCTCAGCTTGTTTTCACATGAAACCGGCGAAGTAAGTATTTTTCTTATCCCCACTTTGAAGAGGAGGAAATTGAGGCTCAGACTTTAAGTTATTTCTCAGGATTCCTCAGCTTGTAATTTGCAGAACAGAGGTTTAATCTGAGAGTGTTTGATTGGAGTTGGCATATTCAACCAATATGGGATACTGTATTCCTTTCTATCAGGATCATTAATAGGAGAATTTCATGGAGTGGGCATGACGGTGCCTGCCTGTAATCCCAGAATTTTGGAAGGTGAAGACAAGAGGATGGCAAGTTCAAACCTATCCTGGGAATCATAGTGAAGCCCTGTCTCAAAATAAAAATGGGCCGGAGATGTAGTTCAGTGCAAAGGCCCTAGCTCTAATCCCTAGTACTAAAAAAATTGCTTCTTAGGCATTGATGTCCACATAAAGGAGTTTTTGGGTTTTTTGTGTTCCCCAAAAGTCAGGTACATAATAATGGATATCATACCTTGTGTGCATATGAACATTTAGGTGAGTTAATTGGACTCCACACATAATTTTAAAAAGTAAAAATAGAAAGCCACTGGCAGGGGAACCTTTGTTTTGCAGTGCACTTGTTTGTGTGTTAAACATTACACTTCTGTGGTATTTGCTGGTTGGCACCACTGCCATTTAAATTGATTCCCTTATCATGATACTAATGACTAGGATTAGCTGTGTTGAATGGGTGCTTGCTCTGCCTGGGGTCACAGAAGCCTTTGCTAGAGATCTGGGCTTTCCTGGCAATGAGAGTTTAACAAACCAGAATGATAAGTAGCAGTCCTTGGTGCAAATGAAGGAAGTCAAGGAAAAGATGGAAAGGTTTCTGTTCAAATAGAGGGGGAATTCTACTGAGCTGGAGTGCTGTGAGAGGGAGAGAGAACCCTGTGAACCACGGTAAGCTTCCAGAATTGGAGGGAAACAGGTGTTTTTGTTCACTGAGTAGGTAATTGAGAATCAAATAGGAAAATGGGTATTTAAACAAAGCTTGTATATGCATGTTATAGATGCTCTGCTCACAATAACCTAAAGGTGACAGCAGTTCAAATCTCCATGAAGAGATGAATGGATAGAAATAATGTAATATAACTGTGCAATGAAATAGTATTCAGGAGTGAGGTACTAGCACATGCTGCAGGGTAGAGAAGCCTTACAACCCTGGAGAAGTGAAAGAAAGAGTCCAGGTACGAAAGGCCACAGAAGTATGATTCCATTTCTATGAAATATCCACAATAGGCAAATCCACAGAGACTAAAGAGACTAATGAAGATTAATGGTTGGTAGGCTGGGGGAGGGGCGGGTGGGGAGGGACTGCCCATTGGGTGTCAGGTTTCTTTTTGGGCTGAGATGAAAATGTGCTGGAACTTGATGAGAGCTGATGTTTGTACTTAATGCCACTGAACTGTACACTTTGAAATGGTTAAAATGGTACATTTTACTTTGTATATTTTGCCACAGTTTTAAAATAGACAACCAGCCTGGGAGATAGCTCAGCAACATAAGCACCTGCCTGGCAAGTGCTAAGTCCTGAGTTTGATCCCTGACACACCACACACACACACACACACACACACACACACACACAAAGTTACTATTGACTCAGGTGGAAGTCCCCTGGGAAGCAAAGGTGTCAAATCACCCCAAAATGGAATGCTAAAAAAGGAGGAAGAGGGAATCCTCTGTTGATAGGGAGAAACTAAAGAGAATGGTGGTTCTGGGATTGTGAGGTTACTGATGGTAAAGCCGGACTTCCTCTAGCCCTTCCTGAGGACTGTTTGTGATGTGGGAGGCTGATGTATGAATGACTTTAAAAAGTTGAAACTGGAGAGTCCAAGATTGGACTTCCTCAAAAGGATGGCACTGGCCAGAGTAGGAAGCCCTGGACCTAGATATCGGGTCCAGTGGCGGCCTGAAAAAGCAGGAGATTGTGCCCTGGCCTGGGGATGTCACCATGGTCCTTAGAGCTGGGGAGAAGCTGTCCCTTAGACCCATCGGTGCTCTTCCCTGTGATCCCTCCCTGGCTCCCATTCCTCATTTCCTGTAAACGCTGGTTCCTGCAGATAGGACATCTTCTGCATCTGCTTCCCTCTGGCCTGCTCCTTCCCACAGCTGAGATACCAGCTCCTGACTCAGACTAGCAGTCAGAGAGTTGTGGAACACACTGTCCTGGGCATGTGCTTTGTGACTTTTCAGGTTCCATGTCCTAATTCCAATATAGATAACTGTTCTCTCAAATATCAAATGCCTCATTTTTAGTGAATGGAGCTGATCAAATAGGGGAACCCCAAAGTGGCTATCTTTAGTAGTTAATCCAAAGAGACAAGTGGCCCCATTACCACAAAATAAGTAAGAAAACAATGTTAAGCGGGTATTATTACCGTGGTAACTTCTTTAGAAGATGTAGTCTTCCCTTTCTCAAGATGTCTCCTTGCACTGCTTTGATACTTTCTCTTTCAGAATAAAGTTAATATACATCCACATATGTACATTTCTGGTACTGACATCCATTTTTCAAGGAGCAGTCCTTCAGGCAACTGGAGAGGCAGAAGCATGATCTGGCACAGGGCATGGGCTTTGTGCCCTTGATCGCCTTTTCCTTGAGGTCCTCTTGGTCACTGAGGACCACTCCCCATTCCTACGCTACCCTCTTCTCCTCAAGCTTAGCTCAAGTTCATTCTTCAAAACACAGCTCCAGAGTGATTTACTCCATGACTATCTTTTCTTTCAGTATGAGGAATTGAACCCAGAGAATACTGACTTACATTCCTCTTCCTTCTTTTTGGGACAAGGTCTCATCAGGTTGTCCAGGTTGGCCTCAAACTTACATTCCTCCTGCCTCAGCTTCCCAGCTAGTTGGAATTACAGATGAGCACCACTGTGCATAGATCATGAAATATTTCTTGACTACTCCAGTCTGGTTAGATGCCTTCTCGGAGCTCCTTCTGACTCACCAGTAGCCTCACTCCCTCCCACCACACCTTGTTACTCTTATTTCTGTGTCTCCCAGCTCCTCTGCTTCTGAGCCACATAGACTCAGTGAGCTTAGTAAATTCAGTTCTCCCATCTGTAAAATAGAGATGATCATTGTTTTGGTTATTAAAATTTGGCAAATATCTAAACAATACCTAAACATGCATATTAAATGAATAAATGAGCTATAATAAAGCGTAATCATGATTACAGTTATTAATATTTTTGACATTCTTAGGGTGTATTACAAATGAAGTAGGCAGTCAGCCAGGTTTGGTATGATGTGGGGTTTGAGTTCATATGCTCACCGTGATTAATCTAGAACTGTGCTGGGCCATCAAACAGTGGCCAACTCTTTGTGTCCTGAGCATTTGAACGGCAGCTTATCCAAACTGAGATGTGTGGTGAGCGCAAAAACCACCCCATGTGCTGGGGGCCTACGTGGAAGGCGGGGCATGAAATACCCCAGAATGTGTACACTGATTCCAGGTTGAAAGGACAAGCTTTTGGATATTTTGAATTAAAGAAGATACATTCTTAAAAATAATCTTTCCTGCTTATTTTTATTTTTTTAAAAATGAGATTATAGGGGAATTTGAAGTTATACATATGATTATGTTATTTGTCTACAGGATGACCCAGATCTACATGTTCCAAACCTGCTATTAGACTAAATCTTCACACAATCTCATTTACACTCAAGTATGATGTGAGCTTTAGGGGTGTAAATAATTCATTTAATGCAATGATCTGTTGACAATCAAAGGTACATCCAGTGGGGTGGAGGTGAAGCCCAGTGCTAGAGAACTTTTCCAGCATGACAAGGCCCTGGATCAGAGCCACAATAACAGGATAATTCATCCAATCAATTTGTAAAGGCTTTTGAATGTACAATGAATAAGATAGTGTACAGAAGTATGTAGAAAAGGGACTAAAGCTTTCTGGGGATTTTCCAGGTTCGCTGTGATCCCGAGATTCAAGAATTGCGTCGGTGGCAGAAGAAACTCTGGGAGGACAAGCACATTCACCAGCGAGTGCAAATGTTCTGGGCCAAACAAGAACAAAAAGGTCAGTTGCTTGGTTCACAGCCTTAGCTTATTCAGGAAAAGCCTGATTCTTATTCCAGGCTCAAGAAGGAACCCCTCTGGAGTTTCAGAAGGTCCTTGTGTTTGCACAGAGCTCAGTCTGTGTACAGAGGAAGTGGCTATGTGTTAAGATTCCTCTCTGGAATAACAGTGCTGATATACTTCACATGGCCACTTCCTTCCCTCAGAGAAAGCTTCAGTGTCACCTTCTATCTGCAGGTTTTGATTTTTAATTTTTTTTCATTTAATGTATTTGGTACAGGGTCTCACTACACAGCTCAGACTTGCAGTGATCTTCCTGTTTTCAGCCTCCGCATTGCTGGGATTACAGGTTTGCACCACCACACCCAGACTCGGTTGCTGGCTCAGCACACCCTGTTGACAGTGCCAGGGCAGCATGCAGGACTAAGGATTGAATCCTGGTCCCTGTGCTTGCCAAAACAGGCACTTAATCTGTTGAGCTATCTCATCAGCTCTTGCAGGTTTTAAATTTTTAAACTACGTGATATCAAGAATAATTCATTGTTTTGAAAACACAGTGTCTCTCAATATGAGAGGTAGTTATTCTTCAAGTTGCTGATTGTGTGCCTGAATTTAAATGGTGCTTTATGCTGTCTTCTCTTTGTGAGTGCTAATTTTATTCATCAATTTGACTGGGTCCCTGGATGCCCAGATAGCTGGTAAATTTTATTTCTGAGTATAGCTGTGCAGATGTTTCCAGAATATAAATTTGAATCTGAAGTGGTAGATTGAACAAAATAGATAGCTCTCCCTAGTGTGGGTAGGCCTCATCTGGTCTGTGAGGGCCTGAATGAAAAAAAAGGCCAGGAGGTTTGAATGAACTGTGCTTAACTGCTGGAACTGGAACGCTGGTCTTCTCCTGCTCCTGGTACTTCTTGTTCTCAAGTGTTCAGACCTGGGCTGGGACCTATACCACAGCTCTCCAGCTCTCAGACCTTTGAACCACACCACCAGCTTCTCTAGGTTGCCAGCTTGTAGGCTTTCCTGGCCTCCATCATCTTGGAAAAATACTTTACAGTGAATCTCTGCTTTTAGCCAAGATTTGTTCCTTGTATATGTGGCCTCTTATTTGTTCTGTTTCTTCAGCAAACTCTAATACACCTTTATTTTGAGCAATTGAAAACATAAACACAAAGTACAAAGAATAATATGAGGCATCCATCCTCTGTCATATATAAGTGTGAAACTTTTCTCCTATTTTTCATTCCTTTTACTATCTTTTTTTTTAAAAATGAATTTAGGGCAAAGTGTACAGGGTGTACAGGGTTTCACTACACAGATCAGACTTGTAGTGATCCTCTGTTTTCAGCTTCCCAAGTGCTGGGATTACAGGTGTGTGCCACCATGCCCAGTCTTAATCGCCGTCTCAGTGTACCCCAGGGGTAGGGCCAACACAGCACGCTGGGGATCAAACCCCAGCCGCTGTGCTCTGCTGAAGCAGGTACTTAGTCTGATGAGCTGTTTGGTAGGCCCTTAATACTGATGGTCAACTTTTTAGGGTTTTTTTTTTTCTTTTTTTTTCTGTGGCTTGAACTCGGGACCCTGCACTTGCCAGACAGGCGCTTATTCTACTGAGCTATCTCCCTGGCCCTATTCCTTTTAAACTTTAAGTTACTACATATCCACATTAAGAAAATTGGAAAAATAGAGGCCAAAAAGGATCGAAACCCAGAAATCCCACCATGATTAATATTTTAATGTTTATTCTACAATATGCTATTTCCAATATAAAAAGATACAGCACACACACACACACACACACACACACACACACACATATATATATATATTCATATTATATTAAAATTGGAGTTATGTATATATTCTATTATATACTTACTATTCTTTGGCTTTAAAATTTTCTGAATATCATTCTGGTTAGTAACGAGACATCAGCATCATGATATTTAACAGCTGTGTGGTACAGATTTAGCATCATTTAGTTAACCAACAATGTAGATGGAGATTCATGATGTGTTCTCAAGTGAAAAAAAAATAAAATTGCAGAGCTATGTTTTCATCTGTATTTAAAAATATATACACAGGGGAAATTGGGATATCTAAACAGTATGGGAGAGAATTGGTGGTAGTTACCTTGGGGAATTTGGACTAGATGGGAGTTAGTGTCCTGCTGGAATCTTTTCAATTAACACATAGTACTTTATAATTATGGAAGCTTACACATTATTTCTTTGCATCCTGTTGCCACTGAGTCTGTCTTAGACCCATGTCCCCTCAGTGGGCTGCAGTCCTCAGCACCCAGGCCTCTTCTATTCTTGCAATGAGACACGAAAGAATCCTCAGCTCAGGCTTCCATAGTTTCTCTTCCCTTCTGTCACATCACACTTCCCAGCTCCTCTGTGGCCCCTCTGTTTTATCCTTTAAAAGTGGTGGTCATCTCCTCAGAGAGGCAGCCCTAGCTAGGCTGTCTAAAGGGACGAGGAATCAGTTTATTGAGAAACTGCAAGATGACATGGTCCAAACAAAAATTTTGTTTTCTCTGCAGAAACTGCCTTCAACTTTGCTCTCTTGGATCCCTCTTCAGTCCCTTAATGGCATATTGGGTGGATTCCATGCATTTTCTCTAAGTTCTGATTTCATGAAGTCCACTCTACCTAAAGCACCTCAATCTCAGATCAGTCTAATGCTCACTGCTTGGGGACAGTGAGAGAACTAGTGAGGTTTTTTTTTGACTACACCTCTTCCTCCTCTGGATCTGTTCTCTCTTCTAAATGTCCTGATTTTGATCAATGTACTCAGGTTTGATAAGAAATCACCTCATTCTTAAGACATGTGTGGAAGGTCTGAGGAGTCAAGGGACATGATATGCAACTTATTCTTAAATGATTTACAAAAAGTATGCAGCACACACATGTGCATACACACAGAGAATAGAATGCAAATGTGGAATGTAAGAACTGGCAAATCTAGAAGTTCTTGGTGCAATTACTCAATCACAACTTTTTTTTTTTTTTAATATTTATTTATTTATTTATTTTGTGTGTGTGGCCAGCTCAGCCCACCAGGGGGCGGGGCTGGCTGGCATGTGGTACTGGGGGATTGAACCGTGGTCCTTGTGTTTTGCTTAGCTTATTCTAAGTAGGTGCTTTAGACCACT